TACCACACCGAAGTGAGAAGAACCTTAAAAATAAGAGAAAAATCCCCACCGGGGTGGGAAATACTGAACGCTCTCTCTCTCTGTCACGAATTCTTACTCACGAATCGAATAATTACGTCGCAGGAGTTTGTTGTTCATCAGGTCGTAATGGTATTCCTAAGGAACATCCCCACATATCCCTTACAATTTATACCTATTGATTGTAAATATGAATATTCGGTCACCTTCGGCTGACAATTTATACCTATTTATCAGAAATATGAAAGTTTGGTCGCCTTCGGCTGACAGTTTTTACTTTTACTGACTATGAATGTTTGTCGCCTTCGACAGACTATTTCACTCAATCACTATCAATCGAAATTTAATCACCTACGAAAGATGTTGAACAACAGGAATATTGTTCGGGAATAAATGAATATATGAATAACATATAAATATATTACTCTAATGTATATTATTCCCTCAAGATAGCTAAGGAAACGTTGCGATTCACTCGAACGATCACAGCTAGCTGATTGATTAGTTCCATACAGAACGTGTGCGTGAGTGGTGGGCCTGATTAGTATCCTACTTTATCAATTGCTAAATAAGTAATTTCTCCGGGAAATACCCACAGAAGGAAAGTTTCTTCGCAGATTCAATAAACGCTGGGGTCATGCCATAGTGAATGCAGCGCACTCTATACGCAACGCTAGTCATTGTCAGAAATATTCGGAAAAAAGTTGGATATTATTTCATGCGTTGCATGCGTTTAGCGTTGCATCCATTGTGGAATTACCCTTAGGGTGATTTCGCAAAGAACGCATTTGCAATTTAAGTTAACTCAAACTTCAATCAAGTTTGAGTTAAACCCACTTTACTTGACCCACTTCAAAATTCTCTCAACTCCGAAGCTGATCCACTTAAAAAATTTCAGGATCAAAGTTGTCCCACTTCAAAATTTTCCAACTTCAAAGTTGACTCACTTTAAAATATTGCAACTTCAAAGTTAATCCACTCTAAAATTTTCCAACCTTCCCTTTTTTTTAATTGCAAAATTCGAAAGTTTTATTTAAAAAACTCAACAACCACTGAGGCGATTTCGCTCAAAATCCAATGAGAATCAAGTTATATGGAGACGCATCGATTATACAAAATTAATTCAAATCCAATTGTTACCTTCGATAAAATGGTCGAATTTCTCTGAAATTGACGCTTTTTGGCATTTTTTTACAACTTTTATGCGGATAAATAAAAAACCGCTGAGTCAATTGTTTTTATAAACTAATCAGTTCTAAGTTACATGAACATGCATCGTTTGAAGGAAGAAAAAAATCAATCGCTTTATTCGTTCAGGAGAGATCGTTGGACAAAATTTTGGTCACATACGTACACACACACACACATACAGACATATCTTCAAAAATGTTTCAGGATGATTCCGGAGGTCGAGAAATGTCATCACGAATAAATCATCGAAATTCCCCATTGGATTTTCGGGGTCATTACAATAACTTCCTCCCTACGGGTCGGGAAATTAAAAATAAAAACTACTTCATTATCGCCTCACACTATATAATAAAAAATGTAATCGCAATATGATTCACCAAGAAAATGAAATAGTAAAGGATTGTAAATAATCCCTCCGATAATGATTGATTTTTTTTCGATTAAGGAACTTCCGCAGTAAGTATACTTGGTGAAAATTTCGAAATGGTATAAAGACGCAATATTTGGATCATATGTTGTTGAGGACATTCAAAAACTATTCCCAAAATTTCAAGTACCTTGTCCACCCCATTTTCGAGATATACATCGTCAAAAATGGAAAAAACACAATAATTGAATGTTTGGCGATGCATATCTCAAAAATGGGGTGGACCAGGGACTTGAAATTTTGGGAATATCTTTTTAATGTGGTCAACGACATATGATCCAAATATTGCGTCTTTATACTATTTCGAAATTTTCACCGAGTATACTTACTGCGGAAGTACCTTAAGCCCCGTTTCTTGAGGCAAATTGTCCCTCTTATACAGGGTCGGCTCAGATTCAGTCATTTTTATGACTTTTCTGTCACGAGGCAAGTGATTTTTGAGACTTGTCATGTCTGTTATTTGGGCAGTTTGTATCTGAGCCAGTCCCTTCCTTGCGGCTGCAGACCGTCTTCGCCAATCGGGCCCGCGTATTTGTATTGACCAGAGAAAACTGCAAAAACCTCGGAGTCACGTGGCAGGCGCTTTCTATGGTGGAATCCCCCCCGCTCCCCCNCCCCCCCTCATCGGGGACTGTTCGATCCCTGCCTAGGAACCCACTTTGCGGGTACCGCCGGTAACACAGAATTTCTTGTGACCTGTCGGAATCCATAGGTTAAATATTTTTCGTCGTGAAAAATATCAATTAGGCCAGGCTGGGTTCGAACTCGATCCATAATGATTTTGATAATGATTAATTCGAAATGCAACATAGCCGAAACAAAATTGCGTGGATGACGCCACGGACGCAAGGATCACCCTAACGCGATAATAACGTGAGAGCCACGCGACGAAAGACAATAAATTTTCAAAAATCAATAATTGCAATAAATGAACTAATAATGTTCAATATTAAACCATACAGCAAATAGGCCAAAAGCCACTAAGCGCCGCGTCCCGAAGGCAAAAGCTCAAATTCTAACAACTCAAATGGTGCGAAAATGGGCTTCGGAGAACGGTAATGTTGACAACGCGTGTACTCACAAGCATAATTACGCTCACCGCTTAATCCGTGAGAAACCCTAGGATTAACTCGTCTGGACACTCAGTATGGCGGCGAAATCAGGAGAGCGCCGAAAAATAGAGGCAAACAACAAAGTTTAATTTACAATATTTAATAGGTGTGTGAATATGACTCCACCCTTTCCCAACAGATGTCGTTTTTAGTATTGCTTACATGCACTAATAAATGACAACACTTGTATTCGATAGTACTTTATGTCAGCTGTCAAACTCACTGCGTGACATTTGGTTGAAATGTAAGCAACAAGTGTTTTTACCTCCGTGACAATGTCGGTTTTCGTTCCAAGTAAACATCATTTGCGGGAAGTGTTATTACACTATTATATTGCAAAGAAAAGTGTAGCGGAAACTCATCGTTTGCTTGTGAAGATTTACGGTGAGCATGCTTCATCTAATGCAACTTGCAAGGAATGGTTTCGACGATTTCAAAATAATGATTTTGGCACTAAGGGCAGAGAACATGGAAAACCACCAAAAAAATTTGAAGATAGTGAATAAAGCTAATGAAGATGCCTCCAGCATTATTGGCAGATGATTCTTGCCAAACTCAATCAGCATTGGCTGCAGCATTAAATGTTGAACGATCACCTGTTGCAAAGCGTTTAAAAGCAATGGGAATGGTTCAAAATTTGGTAACTAGGTTTCATATGAACTGAAAGAAAGAGACATGGAACGGCGAAAAACAATTTGGGAAATGCTACTTCAAAGACAGCAAAGAAAAGGATTTTGCATCGAATAGCCACAGGAGATGAGAAATGGATATATTATGAGAATCCTAAACTCCAAAACGCTTATGTGAAGCCAGGTGAACCCGGCCCATCCCAGCCAAAAAGAAATATTCACAGTGCCAAGGTTATGCTCTGCATTTGGTGGGATCAGAGAGGTGTTGTATATTATGAGTTGCTCGAACCGTCTCAAACGATTAATGGAGAAGTTTACCGACGACAGCTAATACGTTTGAAGCGAGGCATAGAAGAAAAACGACCAGAATGGGTGAATAGGCACAGTAAATTAATTCTTCAACATGACAATGCCAAACCGCATACCGCCCCAGTTGGGAAAAGTTATTTAGATGGACAGGACTGGGAAATGGTACTCTACCCGCCATATTCGCCACGCCAGACATAGCTCCTTCGGATTACCACTTATTCCGAACACTGAAGTCAGATCTTACGGGAGAACTGTTCACTTCATACGAAAGTAACAAAATTTGGCCTGATAATTGGATCAGCTCAAAGATCAGGATTTCTTTAGGCAAAGAATACGTAAATTACCTGAAAGATGGGCGAAGGTTCTAGCTGCAGATGGAGCATACTTTCAATAAACTTTTCTTCAATTTTCTAAATAAGCAAATGTGTTTTATTTGAACAAAAAAGGGCGGAGTCATATTCACACACCCAATACACAAGCTCAAAGGGCACAAAAAAAATTTATTTGCGCAGTGCGACTTCTCGCTGCTAAATCCTAGCGGAGTGCTTCTTATCGGCGCAGTCCATCACCACAAGGAACCTCGAAATTGTCTCCTACCCCCACCCGAATCTACTGATAATACTGCGGGAAATCCGCGTTCAAATTGTGAACATTCATTTTATAATATTTCGAAAATTATCGGTCCGAGAGCATTGGGACTTGCGCCTCACGGTCGGAGAAATTAATCCGCGTTGACCGGCGCAGGAGCCAACATAATCCCGCTCCAGCAATGATGCAGCATGAATTGGTTTATGTGGTGGCCTTGCGCCACAGAAAATTCGGTGAAGTGGTGGGGGTCACACATAGCGGCCTGAGTTGCCTGCTAGCGTGTGTCGATTATCTCCCGCATGTACAGTAGTATGAGTACCCCAGACTTGGTGTGCGCGTTGTCGTAGGTAACTTCATAACTCCATTCCCGATGGTCCGCTCTACTCTCCTCGTTTCGAAGTTCACACATCACCGGCGGTGAGCGCGACGACTGTATAATTGTGAGAAATAAAATAAAATAAAAAGTAAATAAAAGAAAATAGATCTGAAAATATAGCCTTGGGTGATCCGTCTCATCGTTGGGTTTAATGACAAATTTTCCCCCCAATAAACCATGGTCAGTTCAGGCGAAGAACATGATTTTTATCAAGTTACAACATATAGCCCCTTGGCCATAAGAGGTTGGCCAGGAGATATCACTTGCAATCCATAATTTTGATTATAAAAAATGATTTTTTCATAAATTTCCTGAAGCTGCTATATATGTAAAAAATCAATCAAACTGACCAGTCTGGGCCTCTTTCCATGCACTCCATCTTATCTGTCAGCTTCACATTGCAATTGTTAGCTGCTGCAGTCTGCCAATCCTTGTAATGCTTCTGCCGCAGCCGAATACCACGTCCGCAAGTGACTGAACATGGTTCCCATTCACCCCAGCGCGTTGTCCTGCAAGCCTCTGTACAAAGCAATTTCATTTTGAATTTGGAGGGGGTCTACTTCAGCTACATTTCAAATGTATTTTTACTATAATTTCTATGAAAGTACAATTAACTCAGTCAAAATGAATAATGAAGGCTAGCCTATTTGTTGAAAAAATAGGGAATCGTTTAAAAATATGAAAAGGATAATTGCATTAAAAATAATATTCTTGAATTTAACAATATTTCTTACTTTTTCAAATCATATGTATTCAAATTGCGAAATCAAGTTGTAACTCGCACTATCAATGAAATTTTTTAATGAAAAAATTGAACTGCATTATTGAACTGGACGATAACTTCAATTCCCGTCCAAGTTGAAAAAAATAACTGCGTTAATCAGGAGACTGTTGATACTAATAGTTGAACTATTCCGGTAGGGTATCATATGGAGAGAAACGTTGGATGACTTTTTTCTACAAATAATATAAAAAAAGTAAGTTTTTGGAAAGAAAGTCCACTTCCCATTCAAAATGAAAAAATTTTGTTTCCGATTGACTTGCCGATTTTTTAAAGAAGGAGTATATGAGACCAAGCTTTCATGAAGTTATTAGAACGCTTGAATTTTTTTTGAGTTATGATTTTTGCAAAAATTTCACTTCTTTCACTGGAAATTCGATTGTTTGAGAAAAGGTAACGTAATTGAATTTAATCTATTGGAATCGAATTTTCGTTTCCGTACATTGAAAAACAATTGAAAAAGCTTGAAAATGAGCCCAATTAAACATAATTTATTCAGTTTTTAGAGCCATTATTGCAAAATCAATTTTTTGTTTCAATCTGGAAGTACTGGAAAAAATAATGTTTTTTTCTTACAAATGAAAGAAATTATTTTGACCGGTATAGGCATATACTACATTATTCCCAAGGCCATTTTACTGGGTCAAACCTTAGATGTAAAGCACCGGATACATAGTCGGAAGGTCCCGGGTTCAAATCCCGGTCTGGACTATAGATTTTTTTCAGTAAAAATTTTTTGGTTATTCATATTAAGAATAATTCCGGATCCTCTCCTACCTCATCCAAATCCCATCCAATCATTTCTATGACGTCACTAAGATATGGAACGCTATATAAATATCCTTCTTTCATGAAAAAAAATTTTTTTTCTATTTTAATTTGTGCATCGTTAATTATTCAATCGTTTCCCTCATACAAAGGTTCGGAAAGTCGAAAGATAGCATATAGCATCCTGCTTTCCATGTAATTTATACCTTGAAAACAAAATCTATGGTTTGACCGAGCCATAATACAGAATATGAATGTACAGGTGGAAATAATTTTTCCATTTGTAATGAATAGCTGGCTGTAAAGGAGAAGGATAGGGAGTATGAGAATAACGTACGATATGCAGTAGTTCTGTACTTCGGAGATATGCAGGAGACCTCGGTAGCTCAATTGGCAGAGTACCAGTCTACATGAACCTGTCAGTTATCGCCCAATTAGCATGACAACTTCGCTAAGTAAAGTATATGAAGCAGTTATTAATAACTCTATTTTATACTTTGAAAACCAATAGAAATTAATCCCAAATAACCAATATGGATTCAAATACCGTCACTCTGCATTACACGCGGTGAATAAACTCATGTCAGACGTGAACGAAGAGCTATTTCAAAATAAGATGGTTGGAGCTCTCCTTTTAGATCTCGAGAAAGCCTTCGATACAGCTTGGCTAAACGGCCTCACATATCTATTATTATTTTTTGTTTTTTACGGCCTCGGAGTCCCTTTTCGGGTCCCATTCGGCACTCTATCCAACCCTATGCATGCGGCTGTGGATTCTACACTGTGCCGCATTCGTACTCCTATAGAACATAGAAGTAGCATGGGGAAACCACAGAAAACCCATGCCGGTACAGGCGGTTCCTCTATTAGCAACCTCCCGCTCGCCGGAGCCTTCCGTTGAAAAATTCGGTTCCACGGGGAATCGAACTCACAACCTTTCGCACACTAGACTTGCGTCTAATTCACTCGGCCACCGACGTCGGTACATATCTATTATTTCAAAAAAAAGAATTCCCGCTACACCTTGTCAGAACAATTTGGAACATGACTCACGAGAAAAAATTCAAAGGTATTAACCATAATAATACTCTGAGTTCAACTTTTGTTATTGGAGAAGGCCTTCAATAAGGCACTATGAACTAACCATGTTTATTCTCACTCTTCACTTCACACGTGATCGATGCTTTCGATCTGAACAGTAATAATGGAACTAACTGCATAGCATATGCTGACGATCGAATAATCTACGTTTCCGGCAAGAACGTAGATGTAATTAGCAAGTCACTGAATATTCTCGTTAATAAAGCGAACGTCATGTACTCGGCTTGGAACCTCAAGGTCAATCCGGATAAGAATGAGACGATCTGATTTAGAAATCTGTTTGCAGGCATGTCAAAATCACAAAAAGAAAGCGCAAAAAACTTCGAAATAAAAATGAAAAATATAGAAACAGATGAAGAATCTATCATTCCTCACAAGGATACTGTCAAGTATCTGGGAGTGAATATTGACAACATGATGAGATGCTCCAAACACATCGACATCCAAATTGAGAAGGCAACAAAGCGGTATAAATCTCTAGGATATTTATTCCATAACAAACATATAAATAAGAGAGCGAGAGTAATATGCTATCGTTTACTAATCAGACCACTTCTAACCTATGGGACCGAGATTCTTTGGAATTTAGGCGCTCATCAGGCAGAATGTCTAACGGTTTTTGAAAGAAAATGTCTAAGAACTTCTCTATTTCTATATCGTTCCGAACATTCCGACTTTCAACATCAAGTCAGCAATAAATACATGTACGATCGAGCTAATATCCCAAGAATCGACAATTTTATACTGAAATTGGCTAGGAATTATTACGTAAAAATCAAGATTATTTGGAATGAAACAATTAATTCGTTCACAATATTTGAAAACGAAGAAGCTTTGGGTGGAGCTAGATGTGGTAGCATCAAACCACAATACTTCACATCATATGATAAAATGGGTTTATTCCAGGATGAAATGAATAAAACAATTTTATTTCATATTCCGAGACACAAAAGAAACAACAAAATCCCAATAGACGATTTCCTGAACAAGGATTTGAAGTACTCCAGAGATATCCCTCAGGTAGACATAAACGACTTTTACAAAATATCAAGTAAATATTGGTGGATAGACGATGGTGATAAATTTCTTAGAGAACTCACCGCTGGAGAACAATTATTCAAAGAGAATAATAGAAACCAAAATAGTGGTCACAATAGATTCCTAAGGAATAATTTCCGTCCACCATAAATACTAAAACTTTTGAATTTAGAATTGCTAGTTATTGCAAAAAGAACTGACCTGACTCAGTATTCAATATCACTTATACTCAAGTAATATAACTAAATGATATTATAATTAAAATTAATGAACACCTCAAGGACTGAATTAGGTAGAAAAGAAGGAAGGGGATCAATTATTCTCTTTGCCTCGCACAAAAAAAAGAAGTATCCCTTCCCATTGTTCTTCCCCCACATGTAAATACTAGAGCCCTTTTTTTTCACACATTAAATACAACCCTCTTATTTTCTTTTTTTCTTCTTTTTTGAAAATCTCTGCTTATTTTTAGCGCACCGATACATAATGCTTTATAAAGGAGCAAAAGTTATCATGAAAATATCGCTATGGGAACATATTAATTAAAAACAATATATTGTTTAAAACTCGAGAGCCACTAAGTGGTCAAAGTTTTAAAAAATCCGATAACTAACGTTAATTTTTTTATATACCTGCTTTTTTTATGTAAATAAACTGTGAATAATTGTAAATATCTTCCGTACTAGTGAATAAAAACATAGTTAAAAAAAAAATTCAGAGCACCAGTTCGGCAAATTGGAGATGCGGGATCATACTGCACCTGAGTTCGAGTCCATGTGCCTCAAAATTTTTTAATTTGTCCATTGTTTATTATTTGATTGTTTCCCTCGTATAGGCGCTCGGAAAGTCGAAAGATGGCAAATAGCATATTGCTTTCCATGTAAATTTATACCTTAAGAAAACATCTATGGTTTGACCGACGAAAATAGCCCTGGGGATAATAGAGATTTTTTTAATGAAATTATAGCGGTAACTTGGAGACATTATTACCGATCTATTCACGAAAGGATAATAATCATTTTGCTGTTATACTTCATTAACCGAGTGATTTTTTTCGCACAATTCGTTTCCGGGAACAATGCTTAAAATGACCAAGAAAAAAACTTTATGACTGGTAATAGTTGAAAAAGTGAACTATTTCAAGCCATATTCTACTTCGGAACATATCACTATTCACCTGAACGTGGAATTGCATTTTCTAATCATTTTGGAATTGTGAAAGTTTTCGATTGTTTCAATGTTGTCGCCTCACATAGAATGTTGAAAGAATTTGTGAAGATAATATTTCCCCAATTGTGAAGATAATTTTTCCTTATGGCAATCTCAAAATGACTTCGAATGAAGTGCAACTCAAGCCTCTACCGACTATTATTCTTCCACTCAGAAAAAAATAATTTCTGCCAAGTATCCATTTTTTGAAGAGAAGTATTCGTATTATTAGTCACGTATTTCTGCAGTTGAGTCATTCCCGGGCACTCCTTGATTGGTGAAATGACGTTGAAGGCTATCATACCCTAGGTGGTATGATAGTTGTATTGAATTATAGGGAAAAACAAGCAGGGGTTCGAGCTTTTTTGGCCGAAGCCATCTGACCGTTACTTTATGTATTATAACTCTTTTTCTTTTTTTCATTTCTACCAATCCCATTAGTAAGTAATGTGATACTAGTAATGTAGTAATTAGTAGTAAGCTTCCGAATGGATCTGTAATAATACTATTAAAGGAAGAATAAAATGGAAACACCAAACCCGCTCAGATTAGATATCAACAATGTCAGTGGAAATAACTACCTCCTGAGGAAAAAACAGACAAACGGAAATATCTCGAAAACTTT